TGTAGTCTGCACTGAAATGGAGCAAAGGATCATGGTCTATGTAGTTCCCTTTGTATTTCTTTAAGTTATTGCTGCACCGTAACTGAATTTACGCAAAGAGACTTGTAAATTTGATATATTGTGATGGTCCACGATATTATTGTGAGAACTTTGACGATACGATATCACGATATTTCGGTTCCCCTAGTGTGTGTGGATGGGTAAGTTGTTCCTTGATGTGTTCTGAGTGTCTTGAAAGTGGAAAAGTGCTTTATACATTGACCATTTACTCACCCTGTTTTCTTCAGAGATGAGGGTAAGTGAGGAGTTCAGTCTCACGGGAGGAGCTTGGAGTAGACCCGCTGCTCCTCCACATGTAGAAGAGCCAGCAGAGGTGGATCCAGGACAAACTCCTCGCTCAGATTACACTGGTTTGAGAGTCCAGGGTCAGGCTGGTTTAGTTTGTTTTATTTTGGTCTCACACTGTGCAGCTGTGTTCAGTCCTGTGAAGCTGCACACACCAGACCACAGGTTCACTCCACAACTCTTCATTTATTAAGAGAAAAGGCTGAGGTCCAGACTTCCCTCTGCTCCTCGGGGGGTCCTGGGTCTTCTCTGGGTCTAAACCCCGGGCTCAGACGGCACAGTGCAGCTCCGGCGTCCGGCAGAAACAGACTCCCGACGGAATAAATCTGGGGCGCTGTGGCTCGTCCTCCAGCTCCAGCGCACGACTGCAGCAGCGCCTGTGGTCTCTAAGCTCCTCTTCACACTCACACACACAACTCTGAGCCCGGGGTTAGACCCAGGACCCCCTGAGGAGCACGGGGAAGTCTGCGAGCCTCTGCTGTCTAAGATAACAGAACATGCTTGTGATGTCTGTGAGTGGAGTGTGCATGTCCTCCCCGTGTTTCTGTGGTCTCTCAGTATAAGGGTGATAAAGCCTGACGCAAAACAGAGCGGCACGGGACACATTTTGAAAACTCATTGTGGGCGCGGGCGGGATTTGGACTACACAATGCTGGAGCAGGTGGGTGGGATGATAAACTGCAGTCCCGCAAACTAAATATGAGTGTAAAGTAAAATATACAAATGATTCAAGTTTGCATTCAGAATTTGTGCTGGATATTTCATTTGGCATTAAGAAAAACATTTTAATCGGCCTTAATTTGCGTATGTGGTCTAATCTCGTTTCAGTCTAATCTCGGGGACTGAAAGTGCGAAACCCCCCTTCCGTACGTCATGCAGACCGTCCCCCCCTTTCCGTCGCGTAGACTGTCCCCCGTCCCATAAGCAGCGCAGACCGTCCCTCCTCCCGTACATCACGCGACTGTCCGCCCTCCCGTACGTCGCGCAGACCGTGCCCCCTCCCGTACGTCGCGCAAACCGTCCCCCCTCCCGTACGTCGCGCAGACTGTCCCCCCTCCCGTACGTCGCGCAGACCGTCCCCCTCCCGTACGTCGCGCAGACCGTCCCCCCTCCCGTACGTCGCGCAGACCGTCCCCCCTCCTGTACGTCGTGCAGACCGTCCCCCCTCCCGTACGTCGCGCAGACCGTCCCCCCTCCCGTACGTCGCGCAGACCGTCCCCCCTCCCGTACATCGCGCAGACCGTCCCCCCTCCCGTACATCGCGCAGACCGTCCCCCCTCCTGTACGTCGCGCAGACCGTCCCCCCTCCTGTACGCCGTGCAGACCGTCCCCCCTCCTGTACGTCGCGCAGACCGTCCCCCCTCCCGTACGTCGCGCAGACCGTCCCCCCTCCTGTACGTCGCGCAGACCGTCCCCCCTCCTGTACGCCGTGCAGACCGTCTCCCCTCTTGTACATCGCGTAGACCGTCCCCCCTCCCGTACGTCGCGCAGACCGTCCCCCCTCCCGTACATCATGCACACCGTCCCCAATCCTGTACTTCTCGCAGACCATTCTTCCTCCTGTACATCGTGCAGACCGTCCCCCCTCCCGTACGTCGCTAAATAAGGACTAATCCAGAACTAAACCAGGCCTAAAACAGGTCTAAAACCAGGACTAAAACAGGATTTAGCCAGGACTTAACCATGCTGCCGGACCACCCACCGCGCCTCTTCCCCTACGCAGTCTCCTCACCCCTGCCCCAACTCCCTCTGGTCCGCGAAATATATAAAACCGATCCGTGCCGCAAAAAAGGTTGGGGACCACTGTTTTAGACCATTCCTTTCCGCTTCTCCGTATTTGATAAAGCTTAAGAAAGTGAACGTCCTCATCTTGCGGGACTTGCAGGCGGGAGCGGGACAAAATATCGCAGATGCGGGCCGGAGCGGGACTAAAGATTCTGTCCCGCGCTGACCTCTAAAGGGTGATGTGGGTTAAAACAAAACACATACTTCTACTTTTTTAGAAAATACTGTGATATTTTTTATTAAAAATGTTGCAGAAAAAGTTTGTACATGTGTCCAGCCAGAAATATCTCGTCTTACTTAAGGCAAAACCCGCAACAAATATATAAGACAAACTCTGGGATTTTAAATTGAAAATCCCTTTTGTAGCTTCGACTGGCTCCGGCCCAATGGCAAGAAGAATAGATCTTTTTCATATATTTTACAAATGTATCTTAAAATCTTTTTCAGTGTCATTTCTCTTTTAGAATAGGATGCAAAACGGTTAATCTATATCTCGTAATAATAATAATAATATTAAATTCATTATAATACTATGTACACTCATTCACTTGCTTTTGAAACCCATAGACCACAAGCCCGGCACGTCACTATACATATTGCTAGCATATGACAATTTTCAAATATTTAACAAAGTTTTTTTGTTTTTTTTTCTGTTTTTACAACTTATAATTTCCCTTCAAAATAAAAATTCCACTGCCTTTATATTTTAAATAATAATAATTAGTATAATAGTATATTTGCTGGTCATGTTGTAGCCGAGGCAGTGTTGAAATCGCAAGACAGGAAATGGCTCTTTCAAAATAAAACACAAAGCAAGATGGAGGTTTTAAAGAAGACATATAGTGCTTCTGTCTGTCGTCGAGTTAGAATATATGACAAATATGGATCACTATGTTATAATTTGGACATTTTTAATCACAATATTCATCTAAAAGGAGTTAATAAAAGAAACAAGTGTGTTAATTTGAAAAACTGGTGTAAACGTCAACAAAACAATAAAAAAAAAACAAACAGGAATATCTCTGAGCAATGACGTCTTGAATACATGAAAATAAAAATTACTCAAGCATAAATCACTCCAAATACAACTTCCAAGGGTAAAATGAGAAGAAAAAAACAAAAATATGGTTAAAAGTTCTCAAAACTCAGCAGAATATGTCTCCTTTAAAATAATTTTCTTTTTAAGTTTTGGTAAAAGCTGGACATGCAAAGTCTAAAGACAGTGGAGGAAGTAGCAGCGTCGAAAATCTTAAAAATGGGCAACGGAAATGTAAAAATAAAATTATAATTCTGAACAAAAATGGTCCATATATTTACAATGATTTAAAATATATCAAAGTCTATAATATATCTTTTGAATATAATTTTCCACACATGTTTTTGTACAAAGTTTGGTAATACTTCATTATAAGGTGCACTAATAAACAACTTGTAAATAGCAAATGAACATTTTATAACTTTTATAAATCTTTAAATATAAGATTTTATTTTAACAGAGTCATTGTTCAAGGTTGCCCTGTAGCTCCACTTCTTTTTGAAAAATCTGAAATAAAAAAATAAAATAAAACACATAAGTGATTTTTTTTTTTTTACTTACAAATATTGATTAATGATTCAAGCAAATAATATAATAAATCTAAAGGTGCATTATGTGATTTTTCAGGAGGAGAGTCCGTCTCCATGGAGATATTATTGTTTTGCTTGAGATGTTTCCACAGTAATAAACGACTTCTAAATAGCAAATGATCAGTTACATATATAAATGTATAAAATATAAGAATTTATATTTATATTATAGACGTTTTATATCTGATATCTTGTTCAAGGTTGCCCAATAAGTCCACTTCTTTTTGGTGCAATTTTCTAACTGTTTACAATAATAACAAAAATTTAACAATAAAAAATAAAAAAATAAACTTAAAAAAACTATATAATAATAATAATAATAATAATTTAAACTTACAAATAATTAAACAGAATTATGGTTTTAATCAAGGTGCATTATGTAACTTTTCTGGAGGAGGGCCCGCCACCTGCTCGTCTCCATGGAGAAGTTATTGTTTTGTTTGAAATGTTCCACAGTATGGCATTAAACTTACTTATCTTTCACTTTAACTTTAATGCCATACTGTGGAACATTTCAGGCGACAGACCCTAGTCCAGATGCCCTTCCTGACGCAAATATGTCGAATTTCATTAAGAAACAAAAAAATTCTAAAATATATTACGTAAAGATATTGTATTTTATGTTAAGGTGCCCAGTCTTAAAAAAATAAAAAATAAAAATAAATAAATAAAAAATAAAAAAGACAAAAAAATTAAATAAAAGTAATTAAAAACAAATAAATAAATAAATAAAAGAGAAAAAAGGGCTAAAATAATTTTTTAAACATAAATAAATAAATACAAATAATAAAAAAATTAATAAATAAAAAAATATTATTAGCAAAATATTAAAGTATATAGATCCTGAAAATTTGGGGAAAAAAAATGTGAGAGAAAAAAAATAAGATAAATTGTGCAATAGCCATTTACTAACACAGCAGTTCATTAGCACACCTTATCATGAAGCCTTAGTTTTTATAAATACATTTTCAGGCTGGCGTGAAGAGTCGTGTGCTCAGTTCAAAATGACGTCGCATGAAACAAGTTCAAGAAATTGTTGCTTTCGTTTTCCCTTATACAATAGTTTTATTATTTATTTATTTAATGATGTCAAAAAGCTTTTAAAAATAGTCCACCTCCTTCATCGTCTTGGCGGCCATTTTGTCTCCCGTTCATAGTAACATTCAAAAAGAAGGCATCGTCTTTACACAAGTCTTTAGCCTTATTTTTTTTTATTATTATTACGAATTTGAATATTTTCGGAGCTATACCCGCGTAGTCGAGTGCCCGTGTGGTAAGTTGGTACTGTTTTGGCTTCCTCCGAACGTATTGAAATTGTGCAGCGGCTGGATGCTAGCTAGCGAGTTGGGAATCATGGTTATGGTGCTGGGCGTCATTAGCGGAATGTCGTCCGGCGAGCGTCGCAGAGTCAGCGTGTAATCCGGCGGGCACGTTAGCCGCAGCGTGTCGTGACTCTGCATGGACTCGCACTCGTGGTGGTGGTCGTGCTCCAGCTGCTGTTGCTTCATCTGCAGCGACATCAGCTCCTCGCTCTGCAGGTGCGCCACGTCGTTGGCCGTCGTCGCCACCTGCGTCGGGTTGCTCGCCGGGTTCGCCGCCGAGTTGCGCTGCGGGGTGGGCACGCGCCGGTTGGTCTCGTGGCGCTGCTTGTCCTTTTTGTAATACAGCGCCGCGAACGCTAAAATGTTTAAAAACAAAAGAGACGCCCCGACCGCGACCGTCACGCTGAGTTCGGTCGAGTAGTCGCTTTTCCGGACGATGTACATCTCTTCGCCGGCGTCCAAGTTTTCCAGCGTGCTTTTCCGTTGATCCGTGGTCTGTTTTGTATTCGCGGACGGAACTCCCGGGTGTCTCGTAGTGGACGGCCAAGGGTTTTTACCGGAAAACCGCTTCGTGTAAGAGTAAGGCGTGGTTTCCTGCGGCGGGATTTTGGTGGTAGTGGAGACGTACTGAAAGAATTCGTTGATGTTGTGCAAATGCGGGACCAGTTCCAGCCAAAACGCGACCTTGGTGGCTCTGTAGTGATCTCGGACTCGTGGTTTTAGTCCGATGTGGAGGTAGAGCTGGTCCTTGGGGTTATACTTCGTCCAGGCGACCTCCTCGAAGCGATTCGGTTTGGTGTGAATGAACTTCGTGTCCTGCGGTACGGGCTGGTTTGGATCCCTGCAACGAAAACACAACAAACAAAAGATTATTTCATGTAACTTTTTCGTTCGGGGTCCGTCACCTTCTTGTTTTTTTTTTGGATATGTCATTGTTTTGCTGTGAAATGTTCCGCAGTGTGACATTAAACAGATCTACTTTACATTTATTCAATTACAGCTGGTTTTATAGCTCAGAAATACCTCAAAAAACAACTTTCTGACCTCACCTCTCCACAGATCTGACCTCTATATTGGTCTGGTTTGGTCTCCATGAAGTTTACGGGTGTGCAAAATATTGAAATATCTATAAATTGTATAATTTAATGTGATGATTTTTGGTGTATTTTATTAAATTATTTTGTTCCAGCTGCAGTTTTGTTGCTTGTTTAGTGGAAGGAAACTTGTTAATGTGACACATTTGACATTTCCACTGTTTTGTTGATTAAAATGTTTGTGTTTCATATGAACTTTGCGCAAGAAGTGATTTAACAAAAACTTTTAGTGTCACAGCTGTGAAAAGTATCATATTTTTCAGACTATAAATCGCACTTTTTTCATGGTTTTGGTGTTTCCTGCGACTTATATATTAAAATGTTCACACAGACAGACAGGGGGCGCTCTAGTCTTGTGTGTGAGTATCTGCTGCTCCTGTTCCTCCTGTAGCAGTGAGTGTGTTTACATGCACATCAATAACCCGGTTATGATCGGGTTTTTTGAGTATCCCGGTTTCTTCATGATGCATGTAAACGCAGTAACCCGGTTTCAGTATCCTGGTTATTAGAAACCAGGTTACTGTAGCTGGTTTATTCTGATAGTAACCGGGATACTTGTGGCATGTAACGCAGTATCCCCGGTTACTGCAACATAAAGTTGAGTCGCATGCGTCCAAAAGACACTTTCCAGCCTTTCACCACAACAGTAGTCACATAAATAAATTGACCAACATAAATAAAGTGACCAAACGAGTGAAATGACTGTAAAATAAAGAGCTGCGCTAAACCTGCACACGTACAATCTGCACTCGTGTGATGCTGAAAAGCTAAAACATGAACTATCTCCTATACTCTATATGCACGGAACACACTTACATCATCAGCACCTCTTCTGTCACAGAAATAACACACATAATCCACAGAGTCGTGTCATTTAGTCCAAAAGAAACTGAACCACAAGGAGCAGCTGTTTTTATCGCCGCTAACAGTTTATGCTAATTAGCGATGTGGTCTTAAGTTTCGTTTCTGTAAAACGTAAACAAATGTGATCAGAGCTGAATGATCTGATCAAACGGGCTGATGTGTCTATAGTGTTTATGGTTTATATGTTGTAAAGTTGAGTTTATTTATGCAGAAGATTTTAATGAAGAATCTGCACAGTGGATTGTGGGAAATCTCGTAGCTCCTTAGCTTCTTATGCTAAAGAGCTCGCGGTTTTGTATTTTTCCTGGTTTATGAAATTGATTTAAGTAAATTTTTGCGCCTGCGCATTTGTAAGATTATGTCAAGAAACCGGGACACTCCATTTGATCATGTACACGTGGATATGAGTGTCCCGGTTTCTCAGTGAACATGTAAACGCAGTAACACGAACACTGACAGAACCGGGACATGGATCATAACCGGGTTATTGATGTGCATGTATACGCACTCAATGTCACTTGGCTCTACTGCGCATGTCTCCTGCAGAAAGAGCCTCTGTTCTGCTGCAAATATTCAGCCTAAAACCGTAATCGAGCAGCAGAAAGTTTGGAGTGAGAGAAACTCGTGACACCGGGAGGATGAACCATGAAACTTTCCTGAAGTCACTGGATGGATGGACAAAGTCTGGACTTCAGTGACACCGAAACCATCCTGTCGGGATTCAGAAAGACCCGAATAATTCAGTAAATATAACCAGGTCTAGCTCCCGTCTAAACAAGGTCTGAACCAGGTCTAAACCAGGACTAAACCAGGTCTGAACTGGAAGCTGTTCTAAACCAAGTCTAGGTCTAACTGAGGTCTAAACTGGTCTAACCATAATCAGAATCAGGACCCGGATTAAACCAAGTCAAAGCCAGATCTAAACTAGGACTAACCAAGATCTAATCCAGGTCTAAAGCAGGTCTAAACCAGGTCCAACCCGAGGTCTAAACCAGGTCTAACCCAAGGTCCTTCAGTGACACCGAAACCATCCTGTCGGGATTCAGAAAGACCAGAATAATTCTAACTGGAACTGATGCTGAGTCTCTGTTTACCTCCGGAGGTCGTGGAGTTGCTCAGAAGTGACACCGAGGATGAAGAATTGAATGGATTTAGTGATTTGGAGTGAGATGGAGAGTTTGTTAAACTTGTTCTGTTCTGTTGTTTATGTTATAGTTCATCTGAAGAACTGTTCATATGTGACGTTAACAGTCTGTTGTTCTCTCTTCTATTGTTTTTACCAGGGATGTAACAATAACCAAAATATCGTGATATCGTATCGTCAGTGTTCTCACAATAATATCGTGGACCATCACAATGTATCGAATCACAAGTCTTTTTGCTTAAATGAAGAGTTACGGTGCAGCAAAAGCTAAAAAATACAGAGGGAACTACATAGACCATGATCCTTTGCTCCATTTCGGTGCAGACGACAAGAAGAAATAACAGTTCTAACACTTTTAAGTCTTTGGATTAAGTCTCGTCAAGGCATTTTAAGAGAAAAATAGTAACAGTTTTGTTCGCCTCCACAAAATATCGCAATAAATATCGTATCGTGAGATGTTTATCGTGAAAATATCGCACCGAGAAATTTGGATATTGTTACATCCCTGATCATGAGCCACCCCACCATAACGATATCGCAATAAATATCGTACCGTGACGATATCGTTTCTTGAGACTTGATAATAGTTACACTTCTAATTATTACTATAATTTGTGTTTCAATATTTCAGTTTTTCAGTTCCTGGTCTCTGATTTTATAAAATACATTTCCCCCCAAAAAGTGCGACTTAAATGTGTTTTTCTTCTTCATGATGCATTTTCTGGCTGGTGCGACTTATAGCCCGAAAAATACGGTAAACTCATCGTGGTCAATAATTACGACGCTCTGAATACATAAATAAGTACCTGAGGAAAAACTTTGGGCCAAACTGTAAAACTATTTCAAAATTAACTACTTCTGTTTTTCACTTTTTAAACTCAGACAAAATGTTCCAAGTCTGTGTCCATAATTATTTTAAAAACAAATGTTAAGAGTATATAATTTGCATTTATTCTACTACTACCTCTGCTATTACTACTACTACTACTACGACTACTACTACTACTACTACAACTGCTACTACTACTATTACTACTACTACTACTGCTGCTGCCGCTACTACTTCTACTACTATTGTTATTACTACTACTACTCCTACTACTCCTGCTGCTACTACTATTACAACTACTACTATTACTATTACTACAACAACTACTACTACTTCTGATATTACTACTACTACTACTACTTCTGCAATTACTACTACTACTACTACTTCTGCAATTACTACTACTACTACTACTTCTACTATTGCTACTACTACTACAACTATTACAACTACTACTACTGCTGCTACTACTACTACTGCTACTACTACTAATACTACTACTACAACTACTACTATTACTACTACTACTACAACTACTACAACAACAACTACTTCTGCTACTACTATTACTACTTGTGCTATTTCTACTACTACTACAACTACTACTACTGCTACTACTCCTACTAGTACTACAACTGCTACTACTACTGCTGCTACTACTACTACTACTATAACTACTACTATTACAGTTTTGTTCGCCTCCACAAAATATCACAATAAATATCGTACCGTGACGATATCGTTTCTTGAGACTTGATAATAGTTACACCTCTAATTATTACTATAATTTGTGTTTCAATATTTCAGTTTTTCAGTTCCTGGTCTCTGATTTTATAAAATACATTTCCCCCAAAAAGTGCGACTTAAATGTGTTTTTCTTCTTCATGATGCATTTTTTGGCTGGTGCGACTTATAGCCCGAAAAATACGGTAAACTCATCGTGGTCAATAATTACGACGCTCTGAATACATAAGTAAGTACCTGAGGAAAAACTTTGGGCCAAACTGTAAAACTATTTCAAAATTAACTACTTCTGTTTTTCACTTTTTAAACTCAGACAAAATGTTCCAAGTCTGTGTCCATAATTATTTTAAAAACAAATGTTAAGAGTATATAATTTGCATTTATTCGATTTAATTATAGATTTCCATTTCTTTCTCAAACTCTACACAGAAATTACCTTTTGTACCTCGAGTCCTGCCAAGACGAATCTCTGAAAGCTGCAGCCGACTCCACAGTTTTTCACACTGCACCGAAGAATGAGCCACTTAAAAATAATCAATGCTTTTGTCTCCAATTTGAACAATACAAAATCCACAGCGGGACCGAGACTCCCCACTGTGAAACCAATCTTATAAATAAACAACTATTTCATTAAAACGCCCAAAATACAGAGTTACACAAAACTCCAAACCACACGCCACCGACAGACTGTTTTACATTTAACCCACTGAACCGGGACTAAACCAGGACTAAACCAGGACTAGACCAGGGCTAGACCTGGACTGAACCAGGACTAAACCAGGACTAACCAGGACTAAACCAGGACTAAACCAGGACTAAACCAGGACTAAAACCAGGACTAAACCAGGACTGAAACTGAAGGACTAGACTAGACCAGGACTAAACCAGGACTAGACCAGGACTAGACTAGACCTGGACTGAACCAGGACTAGAACCAGGACTAAACCAGGACTAAACCAGGACTAAACCTGGACTAAACCAGGACTAAACCAGGACTAAACCAGGACTAAACCAGGACTAAACCAGGACTAAACCAGGACTGAACCAGGACTAGACCTGGACTGAACTGGGACTAAACCAGGACTAAACCAGGACTAGACCAGGACTAACCAGGACTAACCAGGACTAAACCAGGACTGAACCAGGACTAAACCAGGACTAAACCA